AGTCCCCTCTGCCTCCCTTTTCAGGCATCAAACCAAGGAGCTGATTCCTTCCTTTATTCAAATAGCCTGTGTTGAGAGTCTGCAGGAGTCCAGCACTGTGCAAGGTGCTAAAGATAAGGGGCACTCTGCCCTCAGTAGCTTGTGGCTTCATTTTGCCCCTGTTCACTATCCACTGCGATGGCCTGTAGCCCAGATGCAGCTCTCGCTCCAGTCTTAGCTCTTCTCCACTCCTGGGACCCTTCTCGCAGAGCCCACACTTGTCTCTGCTCCACTTTGCTACAGATGACATAATCCCTATGCATCAGTTCTGATGTGTCCCTGTACATAAGTCCTGGCAGAAAACAGCATTGCACCCAAGTGCCTTAACCAATAACTGAATACAGGGACTACTTGCAGAGCTGTGGGTAGGGTTCAGGGAACCAACCAGGCATGCTGATGCCCTCAAAGACTAGGAATAGCAGGAAGCCATGATTACTCATAGGCTTAAAGGGGAAATAGTGTTATTGGAGCCTATTGAAGATACAGTGATTACTTGTAATCACAGAGCAACACAGACATGGCATTGAAGCAGGGAGAGATGGAGGAATAAACACTGTTTTCTCATCTCCTGCCAGCACCCATTTGGCTGCATCCAAAAGCCAGAGGACAAGGATGCCCAAGTGAAACAGTTCACCTCTCTCTGTCCTAACTGGTTTATGGTAGATCCAAATTAGGACTGGAATCAATTTCAAGCCTGGGTAAACCAATGGGGGAGATACTTTAGGTCAGACCTCTTCAAATCAAGCCTTCTAAGTAACTAGTCCTCCAATCCCTGCTCCTGTGGGTGCTGGGGAAATGCCCATCAGAAGGCTAAATTAATGCATTGCAGCTTCATAGTTTTTTGTTTGTTTTTTATCTTTCACATTTTATTCTGATTAGATTTGAAGCAAGTCTGGAGGGTGCGGGTTGTTGATTTGCATACCTAGAATATCTCTAGCACACCTTTATTTTTAATTTTCAAAGTAGGCCTCAAAGACCAAAACCAGAAGCACGCAAAGGTGCTCACAGCCAGGTAGGCATGGCCATGGGCACACACACCACGCTAAAGATGTCTCTTCCCCACACCTCAGCTGATTTTCAGCAGGGCCCCCACGTCTGACTGAGGAGCAGGAAGCAGAGGGTGGGGGACAAGAAGGAGAGGGAGCCACACAGGAGAAGATGAAAGGGAGCTCCTGGCTCCAGCTGGGGAAGGAGTGTGTGGGCAGCAGTCTGGCCTGGCTTCCCTCCCCTTGAAGTCTCAGCTTCTTCCTCCCTACCTTTGTCGGCCCTGTAGCTGGGTCCTGATTCACTAGTTCAGATTCTTTCCCTGGGTTACTTCCTTTGCTGGGAACACTGTAATTTCCTTGCTTTATTTTATTTTATTTTATTTTATTTTATTTTATTTTATTTTATTTTATTTTATTTTATTTGTCCTTAAGAGATTTGGGGACATACCTTAATCTATTAGTGAGATTTATAAAACAGAGTTGGGATAGGTTATTCCATCTGACAATAACCACCCTTTATTTGTGTATGTACATGTGTATTGTGCATTTATTTTGAGGTGTGTTTTTTTTAATTGTGGTAAAATATACATAGCATAAACTCTGCCACTTTAACAATTTTTTTAAGAGAAAGTTTATTTAGAAAGTTACAGAGTTGGAAGAAGTGAGGCAGCTGGGCTGGGCTGTGCAGGCTCAGGAAACAAGTTACAGAAGCAAAAGCAGGGACCGTGGAGCTTAGGAGAGAGAAAGGCAAAGGTAACACCCTTGGTGGAAGATGAGGGGGATGAAAGGGACAGGAGAGTGCACCCACTTTAACAATTTTACAGTGTACAAATCAGTGGCATTAAGTACAATATTGTGCAACCATCATTACTATCTAGTTCTAGAACTTTTCCATCACCCCAAAGGAAAACCCTATACCCATTGTCTATGGAAGGAAGAGTTTATTTGAGCCAAACTGATGACATAGGCTGGGGAACAAGATCTCATATGCTCCCCAATGTCCTTACTTTAGAAGAAAACTTCCTTGTCAGGTCAGTAATGACAATGGCTCCTTCCACTTGTGTACCACATTAGGGTTTGAAAAGCACTTCTAGTCGCATGACCTCACTATGTCCCGCAGCCCTTGGCAGGTCACACCGCTTTATCTTTTATCTGCTGCGGTACCAGTCTGGAGTCTCCTGGAAACAAACTCCCAAAGGCGGTCCCAGAGTGAAGTCAGAACCCTGTTTTTCTGTCTCCCAGTCACATTTTTTCTCGCGGTGGGAAAGGGTTTCTTCAGGAAAGAAGATGGCAAAGGACTTAAAGGTAGACTGAGCTCGTTATAAGGGAGGAATCTCTGGGGATAAAATGTATCAGGTCTATGGTTCTCAAAGTGCAGTCTCCAGACCAGCAGCATCAACGATGTCTGGGAACTCGTTAGAGAAGCATGTTCTTGGTCCTCAGCCCAGACCTACTGAGGCGGAAACTTCCAGGGAAAAGGGGGAGGTTCAGGAATCTAGATTTGAACAAGCCCTGCAGCTGGTGCTGAGGCGGGCCAAAGTTTGGGCACTACTTAATCCAGGGGTGTGCATGGTGGTACCCTGGAGGGAACACAGCGCGGGTGTCGTCATAAGGAGGAGCTGGGAAGGTCGCTAATTTTTCATGTGGATTCTACAGGTGGTGCTGAGGAGTAAATGAAGACCTTTCAAAGCTATTGCAACATTGCCCTGGCCGGTTTGGCTCAGCGGTTAGAGCGTCGGCCTGCGGTCCGGAGAGACCCGGGTTCGGTTCCCGCTACGGACACGTACTTCGGTTGCAGTTTGTCCCCGGCCCTGGTTGGTCGTGAGGGTGGCAGCCACTCGATGTGTCCCTTCACGTCGATGTTTCTCTCTCTCTCCCCCTTCCTCTCTCTCTCCCTCCCACTCTATCTGTACAAAAAAAATGGAAAATATCCTAGGGTGAGGATTAAAAATAAATAAATAAATAAACAAAGCTACTGCAACATCGTTTGTAATAGCAAAAGACTGGAAGCAACGCACATTCCTACCACTAGAGTACTGGTCACATGAATTATGGGGCATTCATGTGTAATAGAACACTATGAAGCGTGAAAAAGAATAAGAGGCTAGAGGCTTGGAATACTTAGACATGGAAAAATTCAAAGTATAATTAAAGAAAAAGTAGAAAAGTGTATATAATATGTTAACTTTGTGTATAAAAATAGTAAACCGTTTGCAACAATATGAATGACATATCTTGTAAGATCTCACTTATACGTAGAATGAAAAACAAACAAACTCAGATACAGAGAACAGATTGGTAGTTTCCAGAGATGGGGTGTGGGGTGTGGGGGGTGGGACTGGGAGGTCAAAAGGTAGAAACTCCAATTATAAAATAGATAAGTCCTGGGGAATGTAAAATGTACAGAATGGTGACTATAGCTAACAGCACCATATTGAATATATTTGAAAGTTATTAAGACATCAGATCTTGAGAGTTCTCATCACAAGCAAAAAATTGTAACTATGTGAGGTGATGGATGCTAACTAAAGGTATTGTGGTAATCATTTTGTAATATATACATATATGAAATCATGTATGCCTAAAACTAATACAAATTTATATGTCAATTATCTGTCAATAAAACCAGAAAAATAAAACTAAGACTATATAATATTTATATTTACTTGTAGCTACAAGAAACTCTTGACAGAGAAATAAGTAATAAAAAAGAGAGGTGCCTGTGGACAGCAGGCTGGGGTGGACGAAGGCAGAGGTGGGAGGCTAACTTCTTACTGAATTTCTTTTTAAAAAAATGATCAGCCTGGCTGGTTTGGCTCAGTGGTTGGAGAGTCGGCCTGCGGACCAGAGAGTCCCGAGTTCGGTTCCCGCTAGGGGCATGTACCAAAAAAAAAAAAGATAAAATCTTGGCCTACCCTGGTGGCTCAGTTGATTGGAGCATCGTCCCATACACCAAAAAGGTTGCTGGTTGATTCCCGGTCAGGGCACATACACAGGTTGTGAGTTCGACCCCCAGTTGGGGTGTGGATGGGAGGCAACTGATCAATGGTTCTCTCTCGCATAAATGTTTCTCTCTCCCTCTCTCTAAAACCAATAAACATATCCTTGGGTGAGGAATTAAAAAATTATCAAACCTTGAAAATATATTACCTATTTAGAAAAAATGAAAAATATATTAAAATGGTCCTAGGTACAATTCAAAAGCAGAAGCACAAGAAGCTTCCTCTCAGGGAGCCAGGATGGTTGACATCTGACCCAAATGCAAGTCCATCCTCCTTCCACAGGATGGGCCAATAGAGGTCAAGGGTGCCAGCCCACACCCATGGCCCCTCCCCTCAGGCCCAAACCCTCCCAAAATGACACAGGAGCTTTGGGGTCATTTGGACTTATTAATGAGGCTGAGACGAACAGTTCTTGTTCTTGGTTACACATTACAATAATCTAGAAAACTTAAAAAAAATACCAATGTGCAGGCCCCATTCCCAGACCACCCATCCAGAAACTCTGAGGTGGGGCCTGGACACTGGTATTAAAAAATAATTTTTTTTTCCTTTATTGATTTTTAGAGGGAGAGGGAGGGAGAGACAGAAACATCGATGAGAAAGAACATCAATTGGCTGCCTCCAGCATGCCCCTCACTGGGGATCAGGCTCACAACCTGGGCATGTGCCTTGACCGGGAATTGAACCAGTGACATCTTGGTGCATAAGTCGACGCTCTACCACTGAGCCACACTGGCCAGGCTGAACACTGGTGTTTGAAAGCTCCTCAGAGATGCTTCTGAATCACTGTCTGGGACCTTCTGGGTCAGTTCATTTACCCAGAAAGCTGGAGAAAAGAAGAGAGGATATCCAGTAGCTTAAAAGAAGAAGGAACATATCCCGTCAAATCTATCAAGATTAAGTCTGAATGCAAATGCTTTTTTATCTGGCTTAATTAAAATATGTCATCAACCTATTTTTTCGTCCTTGGCAGCCCGGTTCTGAAACGAAGCCCTGACATCACCAAATCGCCACTGACAAAGTCCGAGCAGCTTCTGCGGATAGATGACCATGATTTCAGCATGAGGCCTGGCTTCGGAGGTATGAGACATACACTCTTGGGGATCATCATCTTTTTGGGGGCCCATCAGACTGTCTATGGGCAAAGTTCAAGCCCAAGGGACCACCCAGCTTTGCTCTCCCCTTGTCAGGGCTGCCTCAGTTGTGCTTGGTGGACAAGGCACTGAGCCCAAAGCATCTTCTGAGCATCTGCCCTGCCCAGCCCTGCCTGGCTCTGCCCAGGCTCTGCTGAGCATACTCTCAGGAGGCCCGTTGGTTGTTGGCCAGGCCGAGCTGTCCTCAGGCCACTGTCCCTGGTAAGATTGGCTCAGGGTCGTGAAGCCAGCAGCTGGCTGTGGGACGAGCAAGGGGAAGACAGGACGGCTGCAGCCCAAAGCTGCCTCCTGCAGATGCTCTGAATAACAACCTTGCACTACACTTCTTCGCATCGGGGAGCTGGCAGACAGAGCCTGGGTACATAGCTGAGGGCAGGCTGTGGACTGCTGGGGTTGATTAAATGAAAATAGCTTGAGAAAATAATCATTCAGCTCAGAGGGATGCCAAAGCCCTTTGAAGCTTGGCCTGCAGCTGCGGGTTTTCATCCTTAAGGGATTTTTTTCCCCTAGAAAAAATATTTATTTTAGAAATCATTCTCATACCTCTTATTTTTTCCAGTCACTTTCACCCAAAGAATAAACAGGTTCCAGAAGGGAGTCTCTATCCAGTCCATAATCTGCTGCTGTTGAACTCAAATCACCTTTTCACAGGGATGACCCAAGTACGCGCCATGCCTCCTGCCTGCCCCACGTGCCCCAAAGCAGGGAGGAAAAGGGGCAACAATCCACTCCCTTCAGATCGTTTTCTTTAACCCTTTATGAACATTAAGTTTTCATAGTCTAGAAATGCCAAAAAAATAAACACACACACACACACACACACACACACAACTAACGGTTTCAAGGCCACCCTGGTGTATTATGTACCCCCTGGAAGCTACTCCATCATAGGGCAAGGATGCAGATCTGTGGGCTTGGCGAATCCTCTGAGTATGACTGTTTCTGGGTGCCTACTTACCAAGCAATGCCTTTCTCATGGCCAGACAGAGACCTTAGCTTCCAGGATGAAAGAGGGTGCAAGGCCAGGAGGAAAATATAGAATAGGAAGTGGATGCCCTCATGCTAAGGAGTAACTCCTTAGGTCAGACCTGGCTCTGATCAGCTTTGACCTCGGTCTTCATTGTACCTTTACAGGAGCATTTGTAACCAACCAGGAATGCTGTATATTAACCTCACTGTTTCAGAATCACCTGGAAGATTAAGAAGTGTGTATATATATATATTTTGTTTATTTGTTTGTTTTACTTTTGCTGAATATTCCAGGGAGTGAGCCCATGATTCCATCCTTTTATCCCTGGTTTAACTTCAGTATGGCATGTGGGAACATCAGACCTTCAAATCTGACATGACTCTGAGGTTCCAGGGCAAATACTCCTTATGCCTATATTTTCCATAGTAGAAGTTAAAGTTAAAAGAGTAAAAGCTGTTGCCATGCCTTGTTCGCAGGCCCGGCCATTCCTGTTGGTGTGGATGTGCAGGTGGAAAGCTTGGACAGCATCTCAGAGGTTGATATGGTAAGTGCTTCTCTTCAAGGGAATCCACACAGGGCCTGTGCTGGGCCAGAGCTCTGCCCACACGGTGGGCATTCCCACACACGTGTTACAGATGGCTCAGGGAGGTTAAGACACTTGCCAAAAGCCATCCAGTTGGTATGAAACAGAGACAGGTGGCAATGTTGATCTTCTTCCTCCATGGCCCTGGTTCCTGGCATCAGGATGTGTTCTCTGGGCAAAGGCTCTCAAACATATACAGTCAGGCCCAAGGTTGCAGCTGCCAAGTGGCCAGGCACATCCTGCTACTGCAGATTCTGTCTGGCTGCAGAAATGCAGAAGAGTCTAGACCTCCTTGGCTTACAGGACCTTTGAAGGCCTTATCTTAGTTTGGGTTCTCCACGAAGCAGACCTGAGACAGCATTTTAGCATGAGGAGTTTTCTTGGGAGGTGATTCCAGGAAACACGAGAAGAGAGTGGGAAGGGAAGGAAGCAAAAAGGGCAGTGCCATCAAATCCCTTACTATTGGGGTGTGAAATGCTGTCCCATTGGGGTACTCTGGGAGTCAGCACAGAGTATATTTCAGGGTTATCCCAACTGAGAGGCCAGGGAGCTGGGACACTTAGCCATCCCCCTCACCCCCACCCCGACCCCACTCTCGGGTCGAGGGCAGCTTCCAGAGGCATTAACTCTCTGGCTGCCCTGTGTGTGGGTCTAGGAGCCCTCAGGCAGAGGGTCACTGTGCTGTCAGCTCAGTTTCATTCCCAGCCAGGTGATGGTTTCACAGGGGTAGCGAATGTCCTGCTGACAACAGTGGGTTCAGTGTGTGGGGCTCCCCTCTCTGTCCTCCACCCCCAGGACTTCACCATGACCCTCTACCTGAGGCACTATTGGAAGGACGAGAGGCTGTCTTTCCCAAGCACCAACAACCTCAGCATGACGTTCGATGGCCGGCTGGTGAAGAAGATCTGGGTCCCCGACATGTTTTTTGTGCACTCCAAACGCTCCTTCATCCACGACACCACCACGGACAATGTCATGCTGCGGGTCCAACCCGACGGGCAAGTGCTCTATAGCCTCAGGTAAGGCCCTTCTCTGCCTCCTCTGGGCCTTTTTACCTGGGGAGTTTGCTTTCTCTTTTGCATACCTGAAGCATGGGAAGAAAGGCAAATCATTTGTCTTAATTAAGAAAATCATTGGTTCCACAACAGCTATTTTGTTTCTGGGCCTTGAATAGCTAGCTTCTAACCTTTTAGGAGCTGCCAACTTTTCAAGGAAAACTAACTTGTACACAGGAGTAAAGAATGACTCAGTATTGAAAATACACTTGGGGAAATGTTTCAAGCTAATAGTTATTATTTATACCCTGTCCCGTACAGTACATTTTAATTGCAAAACTTTACTATAATTCATGTTTTATTTTTCTCGTAGCAGTCCGAGAAGTAAATAATGCATTCTTTTCAAAGACTTTCCTCCTTCAGCTATCCTATCCCACCCCCCCTTTCTTTGCATGTGATGGTGATAGACATAGCACACTTTTAGGTTTAGTCTGCTTTCTTTAGACACTTTCTCAAGTCTAGACAATCACCAAAACAATAACTCAATCCCCGATCTGCAGCATTTGCTGGTTTCTTTAGTGTAGATGCGCCCATCATAGCTAATTTCAAGCTACCAACCTGCTGTCACTGAATGCAGAGCTGGGAAGAAATGGGTAGTAACACACCTTTAGACAGTATTTCCACTATCTAAATATAGTAGATGCAGGTAGCTTCAGGAGTATAGATAATAGTCAAATTAGGAAGTGATGAGTTTTGAATATTTATTACTTCTATTTTAGTGTAACTTATTAATTTTAAATTCATATACTGTACTTTCATTTTAATAATGGCTATGTTTAACAACCAGCTTGCAAACCTCCTGATGATGTAGCCATTGGCTCTCATGAGCCGGCAAATTACTAATTCCCTACATCACTGATGTGACCGCAGAGGCAGAGCAGAGGAAACAAGAGCATGGAAAACCTGTGTGTTCGGAATCAGAGTTAACAGTGAGCCTCCTTGTGTCTAAAAACAGATGATTTAATTTTTGTTGCAAATCAAACCATAGGATGATTTGATTTGAAAGAGAAAAAATGAAGAGGCCTAAGTTACTGAGGACTACCACTTTGAGCTTTATTTTGGGGAAAACAGAGAGTAGCTGGGTATTGTCAACTCTGTCAGCAGCAGGTTAACTCCTAAAATGTGTACTAATATACCATCCTCCCACTTCATCCTTTCATTGGTCATTCAACAGAATATTTTTATCCTCACCCAAAGACATTTTTTTTATCCTCACCCGAGGAGCAGGAGGGAGAGAGAAGGGGAGAGAGAGAGAGGGAGAAACATCGATGTGAGAGAGACACATTGACTGTCACACACACAACCCCAACCGGGGCCGGGGACAAACTGCAATGGAGGTATATGCCCCTAGCAGGAACCGAACCCAGGACTCTGGTCCACAGGCCGACACTCTAACCACTGAGCCAAACTGGCCAGGGCCAGAATACATTTTTATTAAGAGCATTCTAGGTGCCAAGGTGGCACCCAGAGTTGTGTGATGAAAGCCCTGCCAGATCTGGTCTTAAGCTCTGGGGACATAAAATGAAATAATTTGTTTTTTTTGTTAATGCAACTTCAGGCTAGGGGAAGAGATAGACATGGAATCAAATGATTAGAATGCAACTAGAGGTCTGGGCCTCGTGCATGGGTGGAGGGGCAGGGAGAGACAGGTGACAGGATAGTGACGGAAGTTTCCTAGGCACCAACATACAATAATAAGTGAATTTGCAAATGAGATACTCCATCATGCTGGTAGATTTCATTAAGGAAATGTTGAAAAACCATTTCCATGGTGCTTGAACTCTTAGTCAACTTCAAGATATAAAAGAGTCAATGATGTGGAGGATTTGATAGCTGTTGTCTGGGAGAGAGCTATGGGGATGCCATGGGTGGGCCTGCCCTGGGACCACTCAGAGCGCACGGTACATGTGTGCCTACCACTGGGACGCGGGGTCGTTAGAGGGTAAGGGAAGAGCTGTCTAACCACCCCAGGGGAGAGCCAGGAGAAGTTTCGGTGGTGGTGGGATCAGTCTGCCCTCCCAGTGTTGTTGGGAATAGTTCAGTGTATGTGCACTGGAATGTGGGCGGGTGAACCAAGAGCCAGGCTGGGACGTAGCTGCTGGAGAAGGAAGGTGCCCAGCAGTGGGAATGAAGAACCCAGAAAAGAAAGTACCAGCTTCAACCAAGTTTCAGGCCTAGATATTGTGAAGCCACTTGGCCAAAGAACAGTCCTGCTGTTACCTCCTTCTCTCTTCTCATGTCCACCCACACAGGAGGTGATCAGACACGGACAGAAACTGGCCACTCGAATGCCAGCTTCGTACGTTAGCCGGGAGGGGGAGCAGAAGTCTTAATTTCAATAAAGTGTGACATGTTGGTTAACACCTTGGGCCAAAATTCTTTTAATTTCTGAATTGAGATGTGTTTTGTTACTTATGAGAGTTTTGACACTATTATGTGAGAGTAAGCAGAAAAACCACAGAACCTGCCAAGTTTCCATCGAAGACAAGGGAAGATCCTCCAAAGAATCCATTTAAAGGGACTTGGGGAAAGAGAAACAGACATGGGTTAGCTTACACCACAGACTGTACTTGTTCACTGTGCAGGTTACAGTGGAAAAGCATCAGGTCAGAGTGCACAGAACCAGGCTGATAACCTCCCTCCACAAACACAACCTGTTTATCAGAATTCCCAGGGGCAATGAGACCACCCAGCTGCTGGCAAAACAAAATCCTCCCAGAACACACATTCCACACCAAATGGAATGGGGAAAATAAGACAAATATTTGGATATTTCGTCTCAAGAGAGCTCTTTTCCTTGACATTTTCATTTAAATTAAAAGTGTTTGTTTTTCTTTGTAGCCATAAATTATCCATATAATTTCCACAACATAGCCAATTTTCTGTAGCTGAAGAAAAAAATAGTATGTTCAATCCAGCATGTCAGTCACGTCCAGCCAGAAGATGGAGAGTTTTCTTCTGACCGGTGATCTGTGCTTGTTTATTCTTTGATTCAGCAGCAGGTTTTTCCACGAAAATTCTGGAACAAAACCATTAGATGTGTGCATGTTAGTACAATAAGATCTTTCAGTGTTTCCCTAATACTATGCTCTCCATGGAATTATGCACTAGAAACATCTATGTTCACTAGTAGATATTATTATCAATATAAAAATATCAACATTGTTAAAAAAAAAGTGCTGCTTTTGGCAACTGGCATTAAGTGTTTCTTTAATATTATTTCTGAAACATTGTACACAAATACTGAATATCAATATAATCAACAAAAGAACAGAAGAACCTGAATGCATCTTAAACAGGGGAACAACACAGGCAATGCCTTGGAGGCAATGGTTCGGTTCCAGACCACGGCACCAAAGCGAGATGGGATCCTTTTGCGGGTAGAAGGTTTTGCCTTCAATTTGTAAAACATCTGTGAAGCCCAATAAAATGAGGTATGCCCATATATGTATGGTCTCAGAGTTTCTTTCAAGAAACAATGTCATATGAGTTTTTATTTCACATTGTTATATTGACTGAGGCCATTGTTTCTTTAAAAATGCTCAAATGTGATAGGAGTTAGCAGAGGCACTCTGTCTGCCTCACATGGACCCTGGGGTTAAACTTAAATACTTACGAGTACTCCAAGGAGGGTATCACTCATAAACTGCTCATCTACATCCTGACCCATTGCTTAGGAATTATAAGAAGGAGGCAGTTACATTGGAAGGAAACAGAGGCCTTTTCTGTTTGTTTTCACATTTTGCACTTGTATTTCGCATCCTCTGAAAACCCGGACTTTGTCTTCTTGTTTCCAGGGTTACAGTGACCGCAATGTGCAATATGGACTTTAGCCGATTTCCCCTGGACACACAAACGTGCTCTCTTGAAATTGAAAGCTGTGAGTAGCCTTGTGCCAGACGTTAGCACGCAGCTCCTAAGTACTTCCGAACACCTTCAGCTCAGCTCAGCAGCAGGAGCAGTGTGCTCCTCATTCATCACTATGCCTTTTTTTAAAATCTTCACCCGGGGACATTCTTCCATTTTCTGTTCAGGTAGAGTGGGAGAGAGAGAGAGGAAGAGACGGAGAGAGGGAGAGAAACATCGATGTGAAAGGGACACATCGAGTGGCTGCCACCCGCACGACCAACCAGGGCCGGCGACAAACTGCAACCGAGGTACGTGCCCTTAGCGGGAACCAAACCTGGGTCTCTCAGGACCGCAGGCCGACGCTCTAACTGCTGAGCCAAACCGGCTAGGGCCACACTATGCTTTTAAAGTGACTTTTTAGATGGAAGCTAAGTCTGGGCTAACTTTTTAAAACCAAGAACAAATTTAGGATTAAAACCTTCTGTTCTTATAACTGACCCTTTTAACGCCTACGGTAATGGTTTTCAGTTTTGTTCTGTGGAACCTGGAGGTTTTGCAGTTCCCCAGTGTCGCCGCTCGGGGAGGGATGTAGAGGGCTCAGCAAATTCCAGTCTCCTGCCAACTCCCCAGCTCAACACTCACACACATGCTCCACCCAGAGAGCTCGTTTTTTATTTGTTTTATTGCTCTTCTGAGTAAGATTTTGTGGAAGAAGGAGTTCCCAGCAACAATTGCGTAGGGAGGTGCCACTGCGCTACAGGCGGTGGTGGAGAGTCTCAGGCCAGTGGAGGACCTCAGGAAACTCGCGCACACAGGAGTCCCAGAAAAGCTCAGCAGCAGGCCCCAGGAAGAGCAAGGTGGAGGCAGGGTGGAGGACTAGCCTCACACCTCGAGCTCTCTGTGCACTTACTCATTTGCTGGTCTTGCCCCAGTGCTTCCCCTGATGAGCACTGCCTGGATTCCATACTCCAACTTGTTCACGCCTTCCAGACCAGCACCACCAGTGGCACTTCTGAGCCATGTCAAAGTCCTAACGGGAACCTCACTGCCCCAGGGCACCTTTGTAAGACTGCCCGTGGCGGTGGATCAGGTGTCCTCTGGTTTTATCTAGCTAAGGACTGCAAGGAAGTGAACTCCACATATAGTAGGGGCCAAATGGACCTCCCTGCAGAGCACTGAATGTGAGAAAGGGTGTAATCAAACCCACGACCAAGGGAGTGACTCCCTACTGCACAGTGGCCTTACATCTGTCCTGTTATTTCACCCTAGCAAGATCCCTGGGAGAGGGTTAGTGTTCTCCCCATTCTGCAGAGGAAGAACAAAACTTGCTTGAAGACCCAGTGCTAAGAAGGACTAAGATAGTTGGCTCTGGAAGATTGTTTTCTCCAGTACACCTGGGCATTTCCATTCGGACTTTAGATTCTTTCAGGTTGTATCAGTCAAGGTTCCACCAGAGAAGCGGAACCATAGGAGATACATAGATATTTAATGCAAGGAATGGGTTTACACGAGCCTGGGGGCTGGTGCAGTAAGTCCGACATCCTGCCTGTCAGGAAGGGCAGGCTGGGAGCTCTGGGTGGGATCTGACCCTGCCGTCCATAGGTGGAATTTCTTTTTCTTTGGGGAACCTCAGGTCTGCTCTTAAGGCCTCTCAAGTGATTGGCTCAGGCCCACAGATCACCCTAGATCGAGACGTCTCCTTTACCTAAAGTGAGCTGTTTGTAAATGCCACCTCTACAAAACATCTGCACAGCAGCACCTAGTGTTTGATTGAATAACTGGGTATAGAGCCGAGCCCAAGTAGACACGCAAAACCACCACCCAGATTGAAGGTCCAAAATAGAAGAAAAGAGAAGAAAATAGCAGGAGCCAATGGACAGCTCTGGCAAGAACTGTTCACACGTAAGCAGACTGGACAGGCAGCTCTGTTTGGTTTTATCTCCGTTCTGCCCAGGCTGTAGGTAGGTTTGTTCAGCTGGTGTGAGCAGTGTGTTCACCTAAAGTGGGCAGCAGGTGGGGAATGGCAATGCCAGAGGGAGTGATCCTTATGGGGGAATCTCTTTGATTTTACCCTGGGTAGAAGCAACTGGAGGCCTATAGAAAAGGGATGTGTTCTGCTCCTGTCTTTTTCTGGGTCTCTTCTTCCTAAAATGCAACCCTTATCACCTGAGAATGGCAAAGTTATTTGCCATCAATGGTGCAACACTACACTTTGAAAGAAGAAAGGGCTAAATTACCCTGGTTTAGAAGGCTGAAACCCATATGTAATTTTGCCATTATTTACCATTTGTGATCTACAAAAGCAGCAATTTCATTTGGTTTAACCAAATAAATGGCAAACTGAATTGCGGGGCGAGCCCTTTTGCAGGAATTATGAACATTTAGTCGTGAGAGCTTTGCTCTAATGACTTCTGGAAGACTAGGAAGAGTTAAATTTGTCTTTTTAAAGTCATTTTGCTTCATTTAGACTATTATTTATTTATTCAAACGATCGTATTACAATCCTAATAGTTTGGGAGATCGGGGTTGAGGGGGCAACTTTCACAGAGCCACACGGACAGGCTTGTCTTCTCACCACCTTGTGCTTCCTGCTGTCTCCCTACTTTTCAGATGCCTATACAGAAGATGACCTGATGCTGTACTGGAAAAAAGGCAACGACTCCTTAAAGACAGATGAGCGGATCTCGCTCTCCCAGTTCCTCATTCAAGAATTCCACACCACCACTAAACTGGCCTTCTACAGCAGCACAGGTGGGCGTGGGGTGGGCTGGGGTCGGGCAGGCGATGGGCCATCCTCTGTCTTTAAAAAAGGTGTGAACTGATTATCAAGTGAGCAGAGCCTCTGCCACTTGAATTAGACACCAAATGTGCCAATTAGACACATAGGGCACCGTTTTAATTCCAACATATGGCAATCTAGCATATGTTATCTTCTGTGTATATCACCCATTAGTCTCAGATCTTCAGGGGACCCCCATTCCTTTGACCTTTAGCATTCTGACATTCCCTCTTGTCTTAGTCTATTTGGACTGCTATAATAAAATACCACGGACCGAGTGGCTTCTAAACAACAAATTATTTCTCACGGTTGTGGAAGTCCAAGCTCAAAGTGCTGGCAGACTCAGTGTCTGATGAGAGCCCACTTCCTAGTTCATGGGCAGCCCCCTTCTCCTTGTGTCCTCACACAGTGGAAGCTCTCTGTGGTCTCTCTTATAAGGGCACTAACCCCACTCATGAGGGCTCCACCTTCATGACCTAATCACCTCCCAAAGGTCCCACCTCCCCATACTACCATACTGGGCATTAGGTTTCAACATGCAAATTTGGGGGATGGGGTGGAGACACAAAACATTCAGTCTACAGCACCTCTACAATCACTTTCTGAAACTGTTGCAGTTATAAACATTGCATTATAATTACCTAGGATGCCAAGTTTTCAAATTAATGTTGCCATTTTAGTTTCAGTCCTTGTTATCTCAAGTTTATCCTGCCTTTTCCTTCCACTGTTCTCCTGGTCCTTTCAACTCCTCCATGTATATATTTCCCTTATAAAGATCACAAAATTTGCCTTGGCCAGTTTGGCTCAGCGTTAGAGCATCAGCCCACAGACAGAGGGGTCTCGGGTTGGATTCCCGATCAAGGGCATGTACCTGGGTTGCAGGTTCAATCCCTGGCCCCAGTCAGGGTTGTGTAGGAAGCAACCAATTGATGTGTCTCTCTCACATCAATGTTTCTCCCCCCCCCTTCCTTCCACTCTATCTGAAAATTTATGGAAAAATATCCTTGGGTGAGGATTAACAAAAACAAAACAAAACAAAAAAGAAAACAAAAGGCCAAGCTGAAGCATACATAGATTACATAGATGGACCTGTGATTGTTCACTCTGTTCCTAAATGCAATGTTGTGTTTAGGTTCATATATATGTGTGTGTATATATATATTATTAAATATATTAAATATATGTGTGTGTGTGTGTGTGTGTGTGTGTATACACACACACACACACACACACACACACACACATATATTTAATTCTCACCTAAAGATATTTTTTTCATTGATTTTTAAAGAGAGTGGAAGGAAGTGGGAGGGTGGGGGGAGGGAGAGAGAAACATTAATGTGAGAGAGACACATCGATTGGTTGCCTCTGACACATGTCCCAACAGGGCTGAGGATAGAACCTGCAACCCAGGTACATGCCCTTGACCAAGAATCAAACCCATGACCCTCTGGTGCATGGGCTGATGCTCTAATATTGAGCATCCAGCCAGAGCTAGCTTGATATTTTAACTTAAAACACATTTTCCTCTGTAAAGAAATCCTAAGGAGGTTGTTTAAATCTGTGTCTCTTGAACTTTAAAGTTCATATGAATTATGTGGGGAGTATTGTTAAAAAGAGATCGATTCAGTAGATTTGGGGTGGGGACCAAGAGTCTACATTTCTAAGCTCCTAGGTGATGGTGATGGTGATGGTGATGGTGATGGTGATGGTGATGCTGCTGGGTCCTGTCCCATAGTGTGAGTCATGAGAGTCTTAAACAGCCTTCTCAAGGGGTTTCCTTTATGTATAAAACAGGGGTCAAATGTTTCTTAAGACAGATTCAACCATGCGGTGTGGGTATCATGTGATAACTCTGTTCCATGGTTTTTCCCACCTCTGCTTTGTAAAGGTACGGTAAGGTTCCAGTGAAGTGTCTAAGGCATTGATGATCCCCTGAGTAACATTTGTTTTATGAAGGACCTGAGTAGCTATTGTGTGTGCTGTCTTTTCTTCCTTGTGTCCCCCCAGGCTGGTACAACCGTCTGTACATTAACTTTACGTTGCGTCGCCACATCTTCTTTTTCTTGCTCCAAACTTACTTTCCGGCTACCCTGATGGTCATGCTGTCCTGGGTGTCTTTCTGGATCGACCGCAGAGCTGTGCCTGCCAGAGTCCCCTTGGGTAAGGAATAGTTCAAGTGCACATTCCACGCATCTGAAAATGCAAGTAATTCCTTCCAGATAAAACCCTTCATTTTAAAGTGATCCTAAACCCCTATTGGCATTATAACTTGGAAACACTTCAAGTTCTTTACTCACAAGTAAAGTGCCATTATGAAAAATCTAGGTAGAAAAACTGTTTCCAGGTCCCCCCAGGTGCCCATGTGCACATCTTATCTTCAGACTTGTCTGAGCCTTGTTTGGGGTGGGTGATCTCGGTATGTGGGTGCTTTCTCTGCCCACGTGCATAAGGAAATCACATTCTATAACAGGGTTTCTCAAAAGTGGCCCAAGGGGTCTTGCTGACAGACTCTTCAATAAAAATTTTAAAAAGAGGAATCCTGCATATCACTTACACATATAGAGTCAGAACCTTGAGAGAAGACAAGGAACTTGCATTTTTGAACCAGTTCTCCTGTTAATTTTTGTGTGTACTCAGTTCTAAGAACCCGTACTCTATGAGCATTCCAATGACAGCTATTTGCCAGCAACTCTATTCCCCCCATTTTTAATATTGCACTCACTCAGTCACATAGCCATTGCTCAGACAGTTCAGGGGCTTCAAGGGAGAGGGTGACCCACCAGGTTTTAGTGAAACTGGATTGGGGCCGGCCCTTAAGATGACCCCAATCCCCAGTTATTTGGTGTTTGCCAAGCAAATGTTCTGAGCTTAATTTGAAATCCTGGGCAAATTTCCACTGACAGATGCCCTGTCCTTTAGCAGTTGTTCTGTAGTTTAAACAGTGACTGTGCTAGAAAACGTATATATTCTAATTTTAAATACCCGTCTCCTATAAATGAGGTTAACACCATCATCCTTGATAAAATGGACATTGCTGAATAGGCAGGCAGGCACGGTTGGGAGGTGGCTGCCAGAGGTGCCCTGACAGTTGATGAGACAGGCCTGGGACTAGACGACAGCAACAAGGGCACGGATATACCGTAAACCTCGAGTACTTGTTTCCTTTTTTAGAGAAGTAGTTACAAGAAACACATAGACCTGCTCATATATGTAATCTTTGTTTCAACAATTGACTGGAAATAAATGTCTCACTGCCAAATGTCTGGGGCTCTCTGCGAAAGGAGAAGGGAATACAGGTGTTATAATGGACATGCAGGTATGCAAAGGGGGAAAGGGTGATTTTGAGGGATGAGGAATAGGAGAGGCTTCATAAAAGCTCAATCTCGAACAATGAGTAGGTGTTTGCTAGACAGAGGGGCGGTAGGGAGACATTCTAGGCCAAAGGAGCAGCAGAGACAAAGAACAGAGGCATGGAGCTGTCCAGCAGTGCTTGCTGAAAGAGAAACAGGTGCTCATCTCTCACTCTCTTTGTTTGCAGGTATCACCACGGTGCTGACCATGTCCACCATCATCACGGGCGTGAATGCCTCCATGCCCCGCGTGTCCTACATCAAGGCCGTGGACATTTACCTCTGGGTGAGCTTTGTGTTCGTGTTCCTCTCGGTGCTGGAGTACGCGGCCGTCAACTACCTGACCACGGTGCAGGAGCGCAAGGAGCGGAAGCTGCGGGAGAAGGTGATTTTACTGTGCGCTCAAGTGTCCACTCAGGCACACAGCCTGGTCTAGCTCTGGACCTCGGGCAGGTCAGAGGTCCTTTGTAAAATGAGGTAGTGACACCCTTCTCCACCTACTTTCTGGGGTTGGTATGAAGAGCAAACAAAACAATATATTGAAATTCACTCTTGGCTACATCTCTCACTCATTCATTTACTGAGCACCTACCATGTACCAGGAGCTGCTAAGCCAAGTTAACTAAGACATTGGTCCCTTTCATTTTGGTGGTGATCATAGTGATAAAAATAAATGAAAATTCAACATGGTGGAACAAATTATTTATGAACATAGAGATATACTAAAAGAAGCTTCCAAGGAAACACATACACCATTCTAGGAAACTTTTCTTCATATGTGATCTTAAATACCTCCCACTATTTTCCAGATTATTTTCCCTTCCACCTGATTTTTCTTTCTTCATCCTATCCACAGCTCAGTGGTTATGTCTTACAGAAAACTCTAACTATATAATAACAAACGGTTGCCACAATGCCACACCTTTCAAGTTTCCCCTCTCCCAGTCCTCTTTGTCTCTCAATATGTTATCTGTAAACATTTTTATCTGGACTGCTATCCGTTAATGATCTCGTGGAGAACAGGGCGATTCTTTGATCATGAACATTCCTCTTGGTCTCTGGTATGATGTGAAGTTTCCTAAGAGTTGATCTGTAGACTTTAGTTAAACAAAAAAAGACCTGCTATTAGAATATTTACAGTGCCACCACCACTGTTTTCCTAACCTCTACCCCAACAAGAAATAAAAGAAACTAGACAAAGGCCACCTCCTCCGCCATGCAGCTTCTTCTAAGAAGGGCTTCTGAGAGCCGAAGCTGAGCTCGCATCCCAATGTGTGTTTGCTGTGTTCACAGCTTCCCTGCACCTGTGGATTGCCTCAGCCACGCGCTGTCATGCTGGATGGCAGCTACAGCGACGTGGAGGTGAATGACCTGGGCAGCTACATGCCAGAGAATGGGGAGAAGCCAGACAAGATGATGGTGCAGCTCACTCTGGCCTCAGAGAGGAGCTCCCCGCAGAGGAAAAGTCGGAGGAGCAGCTATGTGAGCATGAGAATCGACACCCATGCCATTGATAAATACTCCAGGATCACTTTTCCTGCAGCATACATTTTATTCAATTTAATATACTGGTCAATTTTCTCATAGATGCCTGTAATTCTGTAAATTTTACATTCTTTTATGTGTACTACAGGAATATCTGTATGGTACAAAGTAAGGTTATGGGGGGGAAAAAAGCTCCTAGTACTTACCCCTTTCCAGCTTTTCAAAACTTGACAAGACACTCCTGGTTTAATTTGCACTTATTAACCATCTATTGTACACACAGCATGATACTAGGTGCTGCTGGAACACAATACCCATAGCAACTGGTGGTAGTTGTTACTGGAATCTCCTGGAAATACACTGTACCAGGCTTGTGGGCACACTGTATTCAACCTCTTTTAGACCCTAGATGCTTATTCACATGAATGATTTCCTTTATGTGAGCGTTATGTTCTTTGGACTGGGTGCAACTGGAATACACTGAAAACTCACTTGTACAAAATATATGTGCACCCGAAAATTCCTCCTTTGACCAAAATTCATGCTTCAGTTTATAGCCTATTGCCTATTTTTGATGTATTGCCTCACCTTTATTTTACTACAAGGCAATAATAATATTCTATTTGTATTTATGGCTTGTGGTTCATGAGGTTTCTCTTCTTTACAAGGAAAGTTCTTTAGACGGTGCAATTACTTTGATTTTGGTAGGAATTTCCCTGGCAGGGATACCTGGAAGATAAGGGCATATGCATGCATTTTCTCAGTTTTGTCATAGAGATAGCTAGCTTAGAAAACTTGTGTTAAGTGTTCCCTGTTTTACAGTTACTGCTTCATGTATCTCCACCTTGGAGCATGTCCTAATTCAAAGTGAAGTCCTTCCTCAGTGATGAGGTATCTTTACTAAGGAACTTGGGAATGGACTGATTTTTTTTCTGTATAAACATTTCAAGAAAATGCATAATTTGGGCCTACCTGTAACTTATTAGAATGAGAAATACTCACATGCTTTCTGAAGAGAAAAAGAACACCAAATAACAAAAGAAATGAAAAATATCACTGGATATCTGCATTCATACTTAGTGAATACCAGCATTTTCTATAAGCCAGATAACAATGGCCACTGATGTTGAGGCATGGGACAAAGGAGAGGGTTCTAATTTGATGAATCATTTTAATCGAATAGTTAGTTATGCTATGTACTTATAGGAACAACCCCCATCAAACTTATCCAAGCAGCATTTGTTTGAAACTCACTTTAATAAAGTGAATGCTAGCCCTGGCCAATTTGGCTCAGCGGTTAGAGCATCGGCCTGCGGTCCGGAGAGACCCGGGTTCGGTTCCCGCTAAGGGCACGTACTTCGGTTGCAGTTTGTCCCCGGCCCTGGTTGGTTGTGCGGGTGGCAGCCACTCGATGTGTCCCTTCACGTTGATGTTTCTCTCTCTCTCTCCCTCCCACTCTATCTGTACAAAAAATGGAAAAATATCCTCAGATGAGGATAAAAAAAAAATAAAGTGAATGCTATACATAATAATGATATTTTCATTCCAAGTTAATTTGACTAATAATTTATACTAAATAATATTGTGGTATTTTTCATATGCAGAGAGGGCTATATACTTTATTCCCATTTGAAAACAAAATGTATTTGCACAAATCCTAATTACAAGGCAATTTTCCATTTCTCCTAATAAAAGCTCATCAAAAAAAGTTTTTGAAACTCAAGGAAATAAACTTAAAGGGACTTAGAAGAAATAGTTAATTGTTAACTTTTAATATTAAAAGTTATATTTAAAACATTACTTCTTAATGCTTACTTTATGAAACAATTTCAATTAAATTCTTCACAGACATCTTTGCCAGCAGCTTCTTCCCTGTGACCAGGGCCATCTTGAATCACCTAGCAGGTTTTCAGGGTACATCTCTAAACTTCCATCTCCCCTGTTGGAAAATTCCACCATTTGAACCAGCATATATGATGTTGTATTAGTCTACTTGAGCTGCCATAGCACAGTACCATAGACTGAGTGGCTTAAACTACAGAAATTTATTTTTTCACAGTTCTAGAGCCTGAAAGTCTAAGATCAAGGTGTTGGCAGGTTTGGTTTTCCCTGAGGTCTCTCTCCTTGGCTTTTGGATGGTCACCTTCTTGCTGTGTCCCCCCATGGCCTTTTCTCTGAGTGCATGCTGCCTTTCCCTTTTCTTATGAGGTCATATTGGATTAGACCCCCATCCTTATGATCTCACTTAACCTTAATAACCTTAGCATCTTTAAAGGCCCCATCTCCAAATACAATCACATTGAGGGCAAAGGCTTCAACATATGGATTGGGGGTGGGGGGCACAATTCAGTCTAAAACAGATGACCCTTGGAATTATTCATTTGCATAATAGTACATTTAATTCTTTGGTCCACGAGTTGACCCTCTAATCACTGAGCCAAACTGGCCAGGGCTACATTTAATTCATCTTACAGGTATTGACTCTTGATCTTTGTATAACATAATCACATCAATATACATATTTTTTTCCTTTACTGATTTCAGAGAGAGAGGAAGTGAGAGGGAGAGAGAGATAGAAACATTGATGAGAGAAAACTTCAATTGGCCGCCTCCTGCATGCCCCCCACTGGAGATTTGGCCCACAACCTGGGCATGTGTCCTGACCGGGAATCTAACCAGCGACCTCTCGGTGCATGGGTCAATGCTCAACCACTGAGCCACACTGGCTGGACTCACATCAGTATATTTCAAAGGTGATCTTTGAAATTGATATCCACCTTAGTGATTATAAAGAATAAATGATTAAATTCATATTAAATTTTTTTGCTACCTTTTCTAGGGAATTTCTCAGGTGATCTCTACAAATACATAAAACTAACAGTGATTGAGGTAATTTCCATGCTAACGTTTTCTCAAGGCAGTACTTTGCTATCAAAGCTATGTGATTAAGAAAGAGTAAAGACCCAAATATAAAGCACCTTCTTTTCTGATGGGTAATTCTGTGAAAACTTCACCATATAAGTGGGCATATAACTACTTAATAAACTTTTGCTGGCATGACTAGAGAGTAGAAATATTTGCTTAGTAATATTATCTGGTTAATAGGCAGGTACCACATGGCCATATTGAATAATTTATTTTAAAAGTTAAAATACTGCCCAGCCAATATGGTTCAGTGGATTGAGCATCGTCCCATGGACTGAGAGGTCCCAGTTCAATTCCCCATCAGGGCACATATCCGGACTGCAGGCTCCATCCCCGGTGGGGTGTGTGCAGGAGGCAGCCGATCGATGTTTCTCTCTCACATCGATGTTTCCATCTCCTTCCCCCTTCCTTTCTCTCTAAAAAAGTCAGAAGAAGATATTTAAAAAAATAAAAGTTAAAATACTGTGAAATACACTTGAAAAATGATATCAAACATAATTTATTGTCTGCCTGGTAGTTCAGAAGGCACTTTAAGATTTTGAGGATTTCCTGGCAATAAATACATACAATCAAATCTACAAACAAAATGAACATGCAGAATAGGAACAGACTCATAGATACAGAGAACTTTTTGTTGGTTTAAGGGATTAAGAAGTACAAGTTGGTTGTTAGACTGACGAACCTCAAAGGGAAGAGGGGAGGTGGGATGGGAGGAGAGAAACCAAAGAACTTATATGCATATATGCATAACCAATAGACACAAAAAATAGTTTGGGGAAGGCAGGGCTGGGGTGGGAGTGGGGAGAAGGGGGTCAAGGGGAGAAAAAAGGAGGGACATCCATAATACATTCAATAATAAAGATAAGTTTAAAATGGAAAAAAATAAAATTAAATTTAAAAAAAGATTCTGAGGATTTCTTACCATTGTTATGATAAATGTGGACATCACAGAAAAGTACAGAGTGTTAGGAGAGAATTGGGGTTAGTCAGAGCAACTTTTACTTAGTGGCAACCTCCTCTTTCTGTGTTATATATGCCTAACCAATATTCTTTAGTTTTTAATAATTCATATTTTATAGAGAAGAGTAGTGATACTAGATCTTAGAGAGAATAAAAAAATGGTTTGTTACTAACAATGAAACCTCACATTTGTAAAACCCAGCTTTACAAAAAAGTACTTTCACATACACTGTTTCATTTGAACCTGAATGAAGAAGCTTTAAAGGCTGAAAAAGGCTGATTCTTAACCCAATTCTCATTCACCTTATTGCAGATAACGAATACTGAATAAGTAAAAAGTCATGCACAATACATCAACTCTAATATGAGGAAATTTTCTTCACCAATCAAGGGCACCTTTTCATTCATTCATTCATTCATTCATTCATTCGTTCGTTCGTTCATTCGTTTGTTCGTTCATTCATTCACATACTACTGTTCAAGACCAGTGTTTCTCAAACCATCTGTGGCAAAGGACCAGTTTGTTTTATTATTTTAAATTTCCAACCCATAAGCTTTCTGTATGACAAATTTTTTTTTAAGGTGGAGAATCCCTCACAAAACCCAGACCTGCACCTGTATTCCACCTTCTAGGAACATGGATTCGTGGGTTTGACCATGGAACCCAGCACTGCGTGTGGATGTAATCACAACAATCACAGTAACACATGCACAGAAAGACCATTTCATCTGGATGTTGTGATGTGTACAAAAAACAATTGTGTTACAACAACTGAATTTCAGGGGTTGTGATATGTGGGAAATGTCAGTACCTACAGTAATAAGGAAGTACCTATCCAATGCATATATCAACAATTTTTGAGTAACACTATTCCGCTCACTTTAGTATTATCATAGCTCTCAAAATAAAATGATGCTTTAACTTTTCAATTCCATATGCTGAGTTTAATTTTAATCTATTTTCTTTTAATCATTTTAGTATTTGTAACTTTGTGTGCAAAGAGACATCTTTATTTTTCTTGAGATCAGAGTATTTTATCAATGCTCTCTGGTTTACATCAAAGACAAATTATATACTGGTGAGGTTAGTGGGTTTCTTCAAGTAGCTCTTATTAGCTCTGTATGCATTCAGTCAGTACCCTCTGTGAAAAGCATGTGCATTTGTAGGAGATCTGGCTGGCCTTGACCATGAAAACTGAATGAAGGTTAACTAGTTCTCCTTAAGAATCAAGTCCATGCCTTTCTTTCTTTTTTTTTTTAAATCCTCACCTGAGCATATTTCCCCATCTGTCTTTAGATAGAGTAGGAGGGAAGGAGAGAGGGAGAGGGGACAGAGAGAGAAACATAGACGTGAAAGAGACACATCGACTGGTTGCCTCCTGCAGGACCCCACCAGGGCCGGGGATGAACTGCAACCCAGGTACGTGCCCTTGACCGGAATCAAATTTGTGAATCATTGGTCCGCAGGCAGATGCTCCAACTGCTGAGCCAAACTGGCCAGGGCTCAAGTCCATGCCTTTCTAAGTGAGACTAACTGATGTGAGGTGCCCAACCATTCAACTATCCCTTGTATCATAATTAGAGGTGGGAATTTTCATTTTGCATGATGTGCAAATTTTAATACTTTGTTCAAAACAGCATAGGAGGGAGGTTGGGGTAATGGGTGAAAAAGGTGAAGGGATTAAGACATACAAATTGGTTGTTAGACTGACAAACCTATAAGGGAAGGGGGGTGGGGAGTGGGAATAAACCAAAAAACTGATATGCATATATGCATAACCAATGGACACAGACAACAATGTGGGGAAAGGCAGCAGGGGGAGGGGGAGCAGGAAGGAGGAGGTCAATAGG